TATCTGATTGACAAACCTAGTATCTTTCATAGTGCACAGTTACCTGAAAAGGGACATTATCACATACGGTGAGAATGTTTGCTGACTTTTCTAACAGTTTATTATGCGGTACCTAGCACATGATTAGTGCACAGTTACCTGTAAAGGGACATTATATAACTGAGTGTACAAATTGCCAAAAAGGATACTTTACTGGGTGATAGAGTCCTTCAGTGACAACCCCAGTTTTGCTGCAGCTGTATTTATGGGGATAAATGCAAACCTTGTCCAAGCAGAAGGTGCTTCAATTGAATCAAGTTCTGGAAATGATGTGGAAGGGGCTAAAATAACTGGGTTGCGCAAAATTGAGGATGGTTCTGTGGTGTCCAATATACATACATCTAAGTGGAGGGTTTTTACAGATAATGGGAGAGACTTTTTCTTGCAGGCAAGTATGTGACATAAGATTGCTTTTCTTGTTAGTTTGGTATTCTTTTCTGTTTGCTGGCTTCATCAATATTTTTCTCTTTGTCCGTTTGTAGGGGAAACTCGAGGAAGCTGAGAGGTTCTTTCTTTCTGCACTGCAAGAAGCCAAAGAAGGTTTTGGACAGAATGATCCTCATGTTGCATCTGCATGCAACAATCTGGTGGGTCTGCTGTTAAGAACTTGAGATGCTTTGTTATTTTAATGCTCGGCTAATGAAATGTTTCTCCTCTTCTAAAATCTTAATCCTGAGAGATTATGATAAGCTTATAGAAAATGGACATTTAGAAGTAAAACGTTATGAACAAAAAATGTCAATATGTTGTGAGAATCAGATAACAGACTTCTTGAAAATGCTTCTGAAGAAGTAAAATTTTCTGTGGATAATTAACTATATCTTCTTTGTTGTAAATATTGGTATATAGGCAGAGTAATTTTAAGAGTTAAACTTCAGCTCATTGATTTTATTTAATTCAAGGAAACAACCAGCTCTGAGAATCTAAAAAAGAAAAGGTTGTGCTGAATCAGGGATTTTGCAGTCTTTATTTAGGTGTGGGTTTCTCCTGCTTTGGAGGTTTCTTTTTTCCTTCATTTTTCACTCATCTGTGGGGTAGGATGAGGAGAAAGGAGTTTAAGGTGTTATCATATGGTGTTCTTTCTGCTCAGAGTTGGTTTTATGGTTGGAATGTAATACCAGGATCCTCTGAGCTCAATCAGCTCGGATATGCTGGTGCTTTTGTTTTGTTTGTGGGATAAAGTACAGAAGTTCTTTAGGGATATACTATATGTAGTATGCTGAGAAGTTTTGACTCCCTTTTATGTTGATCTCCCTTTTTAGTTTCCTATTTTACGTTTTTTCTTGTTTTCTGCTTGGTTTTCTTTTATCTTGGGAGGGCATCTTGTTCTCCCACCTTGTATTCTCTTTCTATGTTAATATAATTTCTTTCTTTCTCACAAAAAAAACGGGTGGATTAGTATTAGAAGCAGTTTAAGTATCAACAACTTTTGCTTTTCAAAATCAACTCAGTTGTTGGGGAATATCTAGTTGTATGGTGGATTTTATCATGGTTTTTAGTCTTTTGACTGTTATGTGAAGGCAATGGGCATCGCTGTTGGTGGTCTTGGACCAGTTTGAAATTCTTTCTAGGTTCATTATGTTAGTTATGGGTGCCTCTGCTGTGGTATTTTAGGCTTTGCAGAAACGTAAATAGAAATAAAATAAACTGGTGTTTTGTTTCTGCTATCAACAAAGAATTATGAGGTCAATGTCTTTGTAATTCTTTTTTTCCTTCCTACACTTTACTTGCTGATAGTTTTGTCTGCTGCACTAGAATCGGGAAGGTGGTGGTTTCTTGGATGCATTTAGACACAGACAGAGAGGCACAGACACCCTCTCTCTGTGTCTCCTTTGTGGAGTGTTTTAGAGGTTATTTAGAAAACCTTTCCTTGCCTTTTGTTACCCTTTCAGGCAGAACTCTATCGAGTTAAAAAGGAATTTAATAAAGCAGAACCCTTGTACTTGGAAGCCATCAACATCCTGGAGAACTCATATGGTCATGAAGATATACGGTACTATATAGTTATTTTCTGAATCGTGACAAGTAATGTATGATATAGTTAGTGTCGTTCTCTAAATAATAAGCATTCTTCAACTTCTTTTTGCACTCTAACATAGTATGTACAAATGTGAATTTATAAATGTCATGAATAGAATGGCTAGGTACAGTTGAATTTTGGTTTAATTCCCTTTCATTTTAGGTATTCTCTTATTCTTTTGTACTGATATCCAGTTAGCTGGCATGTGTAAGAATATAAATAATGATGTTTTGGCTATACCACCTATACTGAAGTTTATATTTCACAATCGTATCTACCACCTCCAAGTGTGGATAATCTGTCTAAACTTAACATTTTGCTTCAAATATCTTGTTTTGCCTCATACATATATATATATATATATATATATATCTCTTGTGTCTCCGTTTTTGTTTCTCTCTCTGCCTGTCTCTCACTCTTTCTCTCTTGTTGCAAATCATATTTAGTGATGTATACAGTCAGCTCCTTCCTATATTTTTGTATTATTGTTGTTCATCTGAAGCAACCTGCTATTGTACAGTGTAGGGGTTGCCGTTCACAACCTTGGGCAATTCTATCTTGTGCAGAGGAAACTTGAGGAAGCCCGTGTATGCTATGAGGTGACTAAATATATTTTATTTCTATTATTTTTATTGTGTAAAAGTTCCATTATCTAATAGTTGTAAATACAAGTATACTCATATATTGATTTATCTCAATTTGGCTATTGAATTATTTTATTTTATTTTATTTTATTCTTTTGTAATATCATCTATTCACAAGCGTGAAGAGGGTGGAATCTGTGTACAAGATTTATATGATAATCTATAAGATTCCGAAGATTCTCACAAAAATAAAGAGAATGACCCTAATAAAAAAACCTGACAACTTGTTTCATCTTTTATTCCTAGACATTTATATTTTATTACCTTTCATTGTACTATTTTTGTTTACCCCAGGATATTTAGATCGATTGTGCTAATATATATTTTCTTTCTTTTTTCTGTGTGGTTATTCTTGGGCAGCGTGCTGTAAAGGTATGTACTAGACTTTTATAACATGCATAACAGAGCAATATATTTTTGTTTCCTTCTATTGTGTGAAGATGATTTTTTATTTTACTCTTATCTTAACTTTGGTCAACCTTAAAACTCATATTCCAATCTTTCTCTAATACGTGAAATTATAACATTACATAATAATTATTCAGATAAAGCAGCATGTACTGGGAGAGGACCACATAGACTATGCGGATACAATGTATCATCTGGGAATGGTACTTTCTTAAATCTTCTTTCTTTCTTACTGTTTGTACTGTAAAAATGGATGATTTTTTAATCTAAACTTGGGAAAGATAGCCTCTTTATCAGCATGGGCCTTTCCTTTGTTAAACCACACAAAGAAGTGGGTGAGGGAACTAATACTACCACAAACTGGTTCATGCTGGTGAGAGAAATAAAGTCGGTGTAGGTTAATATGTTATATCTCTCATTTATTATTGTTATTCTTATTAGTCATGCTGTCTCAGTGGCAAATTATGATGTATACGAAAAAACTCATTCTCTGCCTCAAATTAATCCTGGGTTGTGGCTTTTGAGTCAACTGGCCTAAGTTTTACCATGCTTATGGATTGGGTGTAAATTTCAGTGTAAACGACACGACTAAGGTGAATAAGGAACATAGTTGTAATGATATCAATCTTACAAAAAGCATTGGACTGGCTTTAAGGATGCATCTCAAATCCCTTAATGGGTCCAGCTAATCAATATGACACGGACTTATGAAGAAGGCACTGATTACATTGATGAGCTGAAATACTAGTCTATAATTCTCATCTTTAGCCATTTTGGTTATATTATTTATGTTGGAATTTCCATCTGCAGTTTGTAGAGTCTACATGCTACAGTTGTCTATTATTTTCTTCTTTTGATTGTTCTGTTCCTCACATTTCCTTTTCAACTGCTTGGCATTTCAACAAAAAGTGTTAAAACTTAATAAAAGCATACTATAATCTGTATCTTTGATGGTGCTGGGCTTTAGATTCTGTCAATAGCTTAAATCATAAAACATATATCCACCCTTTCTATGAGTGCCGTTAACCTAGTCGTTCATGTTAGTTTGATTTCCAAGAACTGGTCTTCAATTGAAATATCATTCTCCTATTCCTATCTTCTTGTGAATTATTCTTTTCTCGCAGAGGATATATTCTTTTCCACTTTGAGAGACATAAACATATAGAAGCACTCCTTTGATGAAGGAGGTGTTGTTTGACTATACACACTGATACCGGAAGCTCACTTCATATTGCTATCTCCTATATTTTGAGTCCATCTTCTAAAACTAGACAGTGTTAGTATGTATGTTAAAGGTATTTAACTCCAATGATTTGGCTTTTAATGTGTAATAGGAAAATAGAGCTATAAATACTTTTGTTTTTCCTTTTACGCCGGCTACCCGTGTTTTATTACATATTGAAATGAAAACTCACGGGAATATGTTCTACATGTCTTGTATTCAGCTATTCTAAAATACTGTAAACAGGGAATTTCACATGCCTATTTAAGGATTCTTTCCCTATAGCTGCCAGCTACATGCTATTTTTGTGAGATTTGAGCGTATTAAGTTTGTGGTTTAAGTGTGGTTGGACCACATTGGTATCTCAAATACTTCAGATTCTTGTTTCATTTTGTTTTTTCTTTGCTGATGATTTCTGGAATGTCTTTTCTTTCTGCATAAGAATTTTTCAGATGCTTTATTATTTCCAATACAGGTGCTGTATCTCCAAGGAAAAGAGAGTGATGCTGAAGCACTTATTCAAGATTCTATTAGAATATTAGAGGTGCATTGCTATGTTACGTGATAGATGATGCTAGTCTGATGTGATGCTCTATTATTGATTTCGTTTTATTGGGTATTGTCCATTTTGTCTTCACTATGTAGGGATGTGGACAAGGGGAATCAATATCATGCATCAGGAGATTGAAATATCTCGCTCAGGTTGTATTGTCATCTGCCTCTGCAAAGTGCTAAATGTTGTTTTTTTTTTAATTTTCATATTGAATAATTGATTTGAAAGATTTGATTGTGATTGGATACATTCAAATGTAGAAAATAAATATATGATAAAAAAAACAATAAATTAAGGTAACAAAACATTTAAGAGTGTTTGGCTTAGCTTATTTTTTAGTTCATAGAAGCTTACTCTCTAACAACATTTTAAATTATTTTACGCATTTGGTAAACAATCAAGAGTTTGTAAGGTATTATATAAACTCTTGCGGTAGCATTTCTAGAAGCTGTTAGACTCCAACTTTTATTTTAAACAGCTTATAAGCTCACTAAAACACGTTGTTGTTGTCCAAGCAAAATGCCAAACTATTTCTTGAAAATTGATAAAATTTTAACATATGACCCTTGTAAATCTAACCTATATCTGGTTCTCCACATTTGAGAAAATTCTCGAATTCTTGCTGGAGATTGTAAATCACCGGCAGCAGTAGGCTCTGATACCAAATACATCAGACATAATTAATAAAACAAGAACATAACAACTTAGCTTAACCCTAATTAAATTGAGATAAGTATTTAACTAAATGTAACTAAATATTTAAATAAAACAACAACATCCATTTCTTGTTGGCCTGTAACTAGTAGATAGAGGGTCGCATTGTTTGAGGCCTCTTGAGGCACAAAAGACTTCTGATGCTCCCCCATTAAAAGTCACAGCAAAGAGGAGGACAAAAGACAAGCGTCAATCCTAGAAGACTATGTGTCCCCAGAATCCATTATCTTCAGCATATAGATGAGGAAATTACTGGCTACATGGTTATATGCTTTCCCCATTTCGAGCTTATGGATCAGGCCCTTTACCCCTTCTCTATTGAGCCAACAACTTCATTTGGTATCAGGGCAGCATTAGGAATTTGTCTTTCTTCTACAAAATTTGTTGGACCTCCTTCACCACCATATTGATTGTCCCAAACAAGCCATTCTAGCCAACACTTTTGCTGAAAACTTATAGATATAACCACTAGGAAAGATTGAAAGAACCAAATTTGAGAAGCCACCTTACAATGCGAGAGTAAGTTGTTAATCTTTGACGCCTCAGACAACATCATATCAACATCAGGAAAAGATATATGTTGCTTATGAAACAAGTCATTAGTGTTAATCCTACTAAGAGCTGCAGTCTAGATAAGGACTTTGACCTTTTGGGTGAACTTTCACTTTCCAAAGAGTTAGTAAAAGTGCTACTCATCTTACTTATACGGTCAAACTGTTGTCTTCCTTTCTTATTGCTAATTTGATGCTTAATTTCTCTAATGTATTGATATTTTCATGTTTACCATATTCAATTGAGTCTCATTTTCATACTAGAAGTCCTTCTTGATCTTCTGCAAGCATACTTACATTGTTTTTCTTTTCTTTAGATATATTTAAAATCCAATCGTTCCATGGAGGCTGAAAATACACAAAGGAAGATCTTGCATGTTATGGAATTATCTAAGGTTTTATCTTCTTTCCCTTAATTATTTGTTTAAGGTTGCCTGCAGGAGTTTTTCTAGGTGATGCTGCTATTCACGTAAATGTTCTAGTTGATTACTGATTCTTGTAGTGCACGGGATGTGGAAATTTACACATGTTTCAGTGTTGGTTCATTATCTATCTCTTGTTTCTCTATCACAATTTCTGTATCTTGTTGAACAAGAAAATTGAACCTGTGGGGGAAACGGGTGTTACTTTATGAGATTTCTCCCACCGGGCTGACATCTAGATAATTTTTCAAAATTTCACCGTGTATTGGACCATGAAATGTTTTTTGATGTTGAACACGTTGAGATTTTATATGTTAGTAAAGGAGGGCAGATACTTAGCAGATTACGTATGTGAGTACACATGATGTTTCTTATCTATGAGTTCCTATCGTGCCAAATCGAAAAACCAATAGTAAAAGGAGCGAAATGTTTCTTGATTTCTCATCTATAAGGAAATGGGTTAAAGATGAAAGTTTTATGGAAAGGTGCCATTTTTGCTGGGTTGTGGGTGTCATGGTTAAATGTTACACAAGAATTTTTAAATAAGCTAATCCTTTTTGGTCTCACTTTGGGCTAGTCACATAATCCTTGTAAAGACATTTCTTTATCCATTCAACAGTGGAAGTGGGAGTCTATCTTGCTCTGATTTTTGTATTTCTTTTTGTTTTCTGTTAATCCTTTTCGTGGAGGTCTTAGAGGATGTCTTGTCCTTATCTTTGTATCATTCGCTTCTCTAATCTTTAATAATATTTCCTTCTCTATCAAAGAAAGAGGAATGACCTAATACTTAATGGTGACTTGATAGCCATCTCAAATTCTCTCCTGTTTTTCAAACCCTCATTTCCTTTGTCCTTGTAGCCGGTAAAGAAAAACACCGTTTAATCCATCCTTCTGAGGACTTGTGCGTGGAAGTATGGATTTAAAGTTTTATTGGTGATTCTCTCATTGCAGTTGGGTTGTATGGTTAGAGACAATGTCAGGATTTTCAATTAGCTCATTAGCTCGTTTATACTTTTATCTTATTTAGGATAAGGTGATATTTCTTCGAGGGACAAGGCACACAGGTTCTTTTAGAGATTTACCATTATTTTGGTTTCAGAGGAATTAAGGCTCTCTTTTATGTTTAGCCCTCTCTAATTTCTCTCCTTATTTCTTTTGTTCTATTTCTTTTTTTTCCTTAGGAGGATAACTTATCCTCTGCTATCATAATTATCTCTTTCTTGATATTTCTCTTTTATAGATTCCTTTGCTATTGGAGCCACCCTGTTGGTGTCTTGGGAATAAGATTCTCTTTTTTTAGAAGAATGTTATTTATTAAAAATATTAATAGAAACACAAAGATCAATCTATGGACAAGCCAAAGAAATGCACCTACAAGCTGCTGCAGAATATTCCAGTATTTGAAAGGTACTCCAGGAAAGAGAATTATGTTCCGAAGAAACAATGAACTACTTCTTGAAACATACATTGAAGTGGACTATGCAGTATTACTAGTTGACATGAGATCCAGTTTTGAGGATTGTGCCTTTCTCATAGGAAATCTAGTGACGGCAAAATAAGAAGTAGAATATGGTAGCCCCGATCTAGTGCAGAGTCAGAATTCAGAGTTATGGCTCAAGGGATGTATGAGTTTTTGTAGTTGAAGATAATTTTAGAAGACTTGAAGATTCAATTGGATGAAACTATAAGACTCTACTGCAATAATAAGTTAGCAATTAGTATCACTCACAATTTAGTACAACATGATGGAACTAAGCCCATTGAGGTAGACAAGCACTTCATTAAAGAAAAGCTGGATACTAGGTTGATATACGTTCCATACATATCCACTACTTTGCAACTTGCTGATGTATTTCCTAAAGGATTTAAGTAATTCTATATTTCAGACGATTATTGTCGAAGTGGAAATGGATAATATCTATTCACTAATTTTAGGCGGAGTATCAAGAAATGTACATCAGATTAAATTAGGGTATATGGTATATTAGTAATATACCCCGATTTTTGTGATCTTTGTAACTAATATTGCTTGCTTGTATTGTTATCATTCGCTTTTATAAATAGGACCTTGTATTCAGTGAAATACACAACATTTCATTCTTTAACGTACACTAAAACACAAACACCATAACATGAGTCATCCTCTTCATTTTCTTCCTATTGCTACCACTCTTAATTTGTTGTCTTTCTATGTCTTGTTGGTATTCTGCTTCAATCCAATATTTTCCAACAAAGCTTAACTCTCTGATGGCGGGAATCAGGCTTCCCAAAATTTCCTATGATTGTGTTGCCCTTTTATAAAAATTCATCATTTGTTAATTTTGATACAATAAATTAGTTAATGGTTCTCATTTTGATTCCCACTAAAATAGATTAAAAGGTTAAGTACTATAGTTTTGGAACTTGTTAAATTGTCTTGAGGACATTGATTGAAAGACACAGATGCTTTTAAGGCATGCTTTGATGAAGTCATTTAGCCTGTTCAATTTCCAGTTACACTGTTCCTTGTTGTTTATGCATTTGTTAAATCATTGATAAGTTAGATTATGTCCACCTGCATGACAGGGATGGAATTCATTGGACACTGTAAATGCTGCTGAAGCATTGGCCCTGACTTTACAATCAACTGGAAACTTAAGGGAAGCACAGGAGCTTTTTGAAAGGTGCATAATTAACCAGTTATTGGGTAATTATTGAAAGAAGCATGGGGGCATTATTAACTGCACCAACATATTCTCAAAAAAGAATTATTCACTTTCCTTTACAGGTGTCTTGAAGCCAGGAAAACCTTACTTCCGGACGATCATGTTCAGGTTTGTTATTTTGGAAAATATGACACCTATAATCATAAGTTGAATTGGATATTTTTTCCCTCTATACTCTTAGTTACTAATAATGCACCAATTTATATGGGTAGAAAACATTTCTTGGAATTCTTGAATATGGTATACAGAACATAGTCACTTCTTTAAACGATGACATTCATCCATAAATTCACATGAAAATTCAATTATCACAAATTTTTTCCTTGAAATAATTTTTGAATTAGACATGAAAGAGGACCAAAGAAGAGGCGACATTACTCTGACACAAGTATGCATAAACATGCCTTTGATCTCTCTTATAATATTTTTAGGATTCGCTCCGACCATGTTTCCATGTTTATTTACTTTCTGATGTGTGATTCTGGCTTCTAGTACTCTTTTTCAGTAGTATTAAGCATGATAGTAAGTTGAGTGGTACTTTTGAATGATTTGGAAATGTAAGTGAAAAGGCCTTCCTAGTAGAAAAATCAATAAATTGGGGAAAGAGTAAGATTTTGCAGATAGAATAAATTGGGGTTATTCTTTGGAGGAAAAAGAGAAATGTATTGTAGAGTACCAACGGGTGGCCCACATGAGATACTTATAAAAGGGAGTCGAACATAATATATTTGAGTTCTTTTGAATCCTCTCTATGAACGAGTGAATAATCTTTCATAGAACAGACGAAGTCTAGAGTCAGTGATTTGTAATTTTATCAAAGAGAGAACACTTGCTCTCAAAATCTCTATTATTTCTTCTCTCTATAAATGGGAGATAAATGTATCCACTCATTATGGTAGGAAGCAGTGTGATGTCTAATGGAAAGCACTAATGCATGTCTAATCTGAGATAAACGTTGATGAAACCTGTTTTTGTCCAACTGAAGAAGCACAAGCAATCAATTAATATATTATTGTCAATAAAAGGCCCTTCTTGAGCCAATGTAAAATAATGTACAGTGAAAGGGTTGTAAATGTGCATAAACAATTGTAAATGTGGCAAAAAATTTCAAACAAAACTTCATAATTCTAAATTTCTAAAATATTTTCTACATTCCTAGAATTTTATCAAAATTAAATACTCCATAATAGATCTAAATAGCTTCTGAAAAAAGGTCCAGGTTTACCTATATATTCAACCAATATATATGTATATATATAGGTAGATAGGTAGATAGATTGTTAGAAGGAAAAAGGATTGCATTAAAGGGTACAGGAGATTAACCCATATAAAAGGAGAAAATACATAAGCTTGTCAAAGTATCGCTAATGTCCTCAAAATCCTGCACTGAATTTTGCAAAATAAAAAAGGGTTTAGAACCATATATCACAAACCATATCCAAAAAATAACAAACACCTTAAAAAGACATTTTGTTTCTCCATTCCAAAGAACCTGTAAAGTAGCCATCGGAATGAGAGATATGAGCTTCTTTTTCTATAAATGCCCCCAGATTCCTTGCCAGTTGTCACACCAAAAAATAATCTACAACCAAGCCGGTTGTTGTCTGGTGGACCTCCATGCATTCATAAGCTATACACCACAAGTGACAAGAAAATGGAGACCTCGTAAAAGATGGTTCAGAGTTAGAACTGTTCTTTTACAGAAATAGAACCATTCATAAGTATTTTAACCATCTTCATAAGATTTCAGTAGTGAGGCTTCATCTAGGGAGGCTTTCCAATGAGAAGAAGCAAATGGAAGTACTTTTTATGTCAAACCATCTATTAGGTAAGTCAAAATCATCTACATCATGAACCCCATCAAATGGCCTTTTGTTCATCTCCTTCCACAGAACCTAAAAGATGGTAAGCGAAATTAGCTCCGCTTGTTTTCTCCTCTAACCCATACCCTTCCACGCCCAAATTTCATCTCTCCCTGAACCTGTTATCACCCAGCTGATGCCTAACAGGCTATAGCCCATGGTCCAGAGTTTGTAGACTACTGGACCCCAGAGTAGGACATGGTTACATATCTCCTTTGTCCTCTTGCAAAAATAACAGGCATTCAACAAAATCTTGCCTTGTCTCCTTTGTTTATCAATTGTTAAAATACACTCCCTGCTGGCTTCCCATGCAAAAGAAGAAGCTCGGGGGTGGAGCTCTTGCCTTCCAAATCTGTATGAACAGGATGGTATAATTGTTACCATCATGCTTGAACAACTGCCTATAAAATGACTTATTGTGAAAAGACCCATTCGTTGTAAGGCTTCATAGCGGCATGTCATTACTCGCACCCAATGTCACATAGGATAGAGTCCTTAGCAAATTCTTATAACCACCGATCTTCCAGTCATCCAAGTTTGTCTACACTAAAACCTGCCGTTCTTTTTCTCTTCCTCCAATCTCTACAACTGAATTACAAATCTTGACCTCTCTCTCTCTGAGCTATAGCATAAATTTGGGGAAGCTGCTCTCTGAGTGTACTGCCCTCCAACCACGGGTCTTCCCAAAGTCTGATCATGTTCCGAACCTTCCACATGATATTCAATGATTATAATTGTAATTATAATTATAGTTATTGAAGGAAACATGTTAGTAATGTGGTAATGAGCTATTATTAGTTGCAAAGCAAACATCACAATATGGTCACAATTTCATGAAAGCATTTTTTTTTCATGTTGATAGGTATTTTATTGAGCCAACTAGATGTGCCATTAGATTCATCCATTTAAAACTAATAACAAGACTTTAGATCTCTACGCTATATTTCTTAACTATAATTGCTGAGATTGTGAAGTGAAAAAGTTAGCAATCCTTTGAGTTAAGCTTTTCTCTAAATGTTGACAGATTGCTGCCAACATGCTTCATATGGCAAGGATGTTGATGCTTAAATCCAATCAGTTAAGAAAGACACATATGGCTGAAGCAATTGTTGAACTTGACAAGGCAAAAGATTTTTTAGACAATTCATCAAGGTCACTATCGTTCCTTACTTGATAATTCATTTTCTTTTGGGCAGTAAAAAATCCTGAGGAAATATGAAACATGCACTTTTTTTTGCATTCTTGTATGATCCTTTAATATTTGATCCAATGTTTGCTTCTCTTCTATCATTGTTGCTTCCCTGTGGTCTATGCATTCTTTTGTTTCCATGTTAGGTTCATGACTCAGTCTAAGATGCTTTTACTATCTGTAACATCAATGTCTTTCTGTGAAAAACATATATCTAAAATATTAATATTTGATAATATGTTATTCTGAGATGACCTTTATTGGTTCGCTCTTTTTTCTGTTGTTAATGCTTCGAATTCTACAAGCAGATATCTTTCTTTTGTATCTCCACTGCTACATACACTTAGCAATCCAAGCATACATGTGTTTTTGCTCCTTGCACATGTGCATATGTAGTATTAATTTGGTAGTTAATTCACATTAAAACCTTAGAATTCGTATCTCATATAAGGTAGGTCCTTTCTTTAAGACAAAGAATGTTATCCTTCATAAGCCACCAAGGGTGCTGCTCATATACAGATCCTGATATGCTCAGATCTGGTAGTTGCCGCCTCTTAAACCTTAAGATTTTATACGCTGTCAAATTCATATAGATAAATAACAGCAATTCTTCTTTCCAATGCAGGATATCAGAGAAAGTGCTAAATAAGTTGACAAAACAAAGAAGCAAACAAGACCAGCCAGTACCTGAGGAAACCCGTAGGGATGTGCATTCACAATTGCTTATACTGGTCAGTTACCTTCTGAACAATCTGTTATTTTTGGAAACTCTGACTTAAGATAGTGAAAGACATTGCCTTTTCTTTTCTTTCCGTCCAGCTGGTAAATATGCCATGTAGTTTTCTACAAAATGGTGGAAGG